AAAAAATTTTTTTTCTTTAAATTCTCACCTGAGGATATTTTTCTATTTATCATCAGACAGAGTAGGAGGGAGGGAGAGAGAGGTAGAGAGAAGAAAGGAGAGAATCATCAATGTGAGAGAGACACACTGACTGGTTGCCTCCCGCACAACCCATCCAGGGCCAGGGATGAACCGCAACCGAGGTACACGCTTTTGACTGGAATCGAACCCGTGACTCATTAGTCTGTGGGCCAACACTCTAACTGCTGAGCCAAACCACCCAGGGCGAGAGACATATTTTTTATAGTTCAAGATGGGGGAAAAATGGGATCATTAAAGGAGAGGAAAATTGAGTTGGAAGAGACGAGAATCAAGAACAGAACTTTTGGAGTGCTCATAGAAGCTGAGAAAATGTGGTTAAAGGGTTTGTTTGAGAACCTGGGCGGTAAAGCTTCTTGGTAAATGTAATGAGGAAAGAATTTTAAGACTAAGACAAGGCCAAGTGCACTAAAATAACTGTACAATGGTTGAGAAAGAGAAGGACTAGGGCAAAGTCATCGGATCTGACTATTAGGAAGTCAGTGGTAACTTTTCAGAGAGGCATTACAGTAGTGTTGTGGATAGAATACAGATTATAGATTATTAGAGCATAGACTAAAAATGGAGTAGATACAGTAATTATACATTTTTCAACCTTGTTTGTTGGTAAAGAATAGAAGAGAAACAAGATGGCATGTTAAAAAAGATAGACCTCAAGATTTTGTTTTTAAATAAGCAATGGTATTTGTAGACTAAAAGGAAAGAAACTGTTGTGTGAAGAGATTAAATACTTTGACGGAATAATGTTTTGGATATTAATCAACTCAAAGGAAGGAAACTTTCAGATGGAGAGATTAAAGACTTCGATGAAATGTTGTTTTGGAGAAATCAGGAAGCCATGGGATAAAGAACTAAGTAGTAAGATTTAAGCTTGGTATGGAAAGAGATACTTCTTAACTGAGAAGGGACGAAGAGAAAAAAGTATTATGTGAACACACAAAGAAATTTAGAAGTGAGCGGAAGGAGGTTAAGGAGAATAATGTTTAGCTTGATTTCAGTGAAGTGAGGTCATTTATTGAGACAAAAGCTGGTATGAGTAGGCTTTTGGAACCTTGAAAAATGTAGAAAAAGTTTTTGAACTTTGGGGATGTTTGATAATAAGTTAATTAGGGATGATTAAAAGATTTGTGAGATGAGCTGAAATAACATTAATTTACGAACAAAAAGCTTAAAATGCAGTGTTGTCTGAAATTTATTTCCATTATAGTATAATTATAAATGTTGCAGGTCAGGATTCCCAGAGAGCAAACTCTGAGACAGAAATTTGCAAGCTGGAAGTTTATTGGGTGAGTGCTCTTTAGCTCAATACCTGTGTGGGAAGAGAAGAAAGCAGGATCCTACGGAAAGAGCTAGTGATGCAATCTCAACAAAGACCACTGCTAACCCCACAGGGTTTGTGCCCTGCAGAGCCCCTTGCATTGAGGTGAGAGGGCCAGGCTGTTATGACCCCATGCAGATCTATCACTGATTCAGGCAGCTGCTGGTAAGAGGATGTGACCCTAGGCAAGGAGACTCTCTTCAGTTGAGGGCAATTTCTAGAAAGGCCTGACAGCGGAAGGCTATTTGTTGACAACACTTCTGTAACAGGGGAAATAAGTCTTCAGTCCTGAAGGGACTGGACTCCACATTACATTATCCACTTAAGTTTATCCTTTCTGCTACTCAAATCCACTTTTTCATGAAACTTCTGGGAGTTGGTCCTCTAGGATTCTGTTGGGCCATGTTTTAGGGGGGAAGCTTACAAAAGGAAAGTTAGCAGAATAAACAATAGTTGCTATTACTGAGCTGGGCTCGAGTGGCAACTGAACTATCAGTAATTAACTCTACCTTCTTTATCCATATGTGTTCCCCTCCCTGTCAGCGTGCATCTCTTCTGGTCTAGGTAGCTTATCTTATGAGGTACCCAGACCCTCATCTCTGAGATATTTGTACCCCTGGTCACCACACTCTCTTCATTCTATAGCTGCTACATTTGGCAGTTTACCTTTAATGTGGACAAAAGAACACTCAGAGATTCCCAAATGGGTCACCTGGGTGCCAAATACATTCCTCCCTGTCCTACCTCCTCTTGATGATTAGGGTTAATTATTCTTGACAAGAGGAGGTTTGCTCTTCTTGCATACTGCTTCCTTGGCAAAATGACCTCAAAGTGCTTGGGTATCAACCATAGATTAAACTTTTCTGGGTCTCTTTTAGGAGCCAGGACCTCCAAATTAACAAAAACAATAGTAGCAAGGATAGGAACTGCGAATTCCATAAGTGGAACACTGGGAGTGAGGATAAGTGGAGACATTTATGTTTCAACCCCTTGGTTCCTAGACCCATGGGTTCTTCCTTTTGGAGACACATCACCTTATAATAATGGTCATTAATTTGGAACACATATGTCCTCACCCCACTCTCATAAGTTGTTGTCTGTAAACTGGAAGCTCCGCTGTGACTTTTACAACCTCTGTGGTTCCTTTATTAGGTTGGCAGCTTCCAGGTGGTATGATGGATCCCACTGTCACCTCCTGCGCTATAAAATGGGCCTTTGGTCTGTTGCAAGTTATGTGGGATTGATTCTGTGTTGGGGGAATCACATACTCTGAGAATCCTCATATAGTAGTACTGGCTGATGCCATATAGGCAGAGAAGACAAACCCTTTCTTTCTTTCTTTCTTTCTTTCTTTCTTTCTTTCTTTCTTTCTTTCTTTCTTTCTTTCTTTCTTTCTTTCTTTCATTTTATTAATTTATTTTTGTTACAGATGTTTCTCCTTTTTTCCCCATTGACACCCTCCTCCCCATCCCCCCCCAATCCCCAGCTTTGTTGTCCACGTCCATCAGTTATGCATACATGCATATAAGTTCTGTGGACAAACCCATTCTTATAGTATGTATCTATCCTAGTCAAGATGAATCACTGCTCCTTCCAACGTGGAAAGGCTTCAATGTAGTCAACTTTCTATCAAATGCCTGGGTGGTTTCTTTGAAGAATAGGATTTAGTATTAGTGGAAGGTTTCACATTCTGCTGTGTCAGTGGGTATGTGAGTCTTGGCAATTGAGATGCCTTATTTGGGATCTTCATAGTTTCATCTCTGCTGCCGTGGCTACTTCATTCATAGTTCACTCATAATTCAGTACTCAGCTGGCCAGTGACAGAGGCTAGCTGACATTAGCTGATTGATTAATTCTCTCTACTTGGTTGTTGAATGATCTCTTCCTTGTTGGATGCTCTCTGGAGGGCATTACATAAAATGAAAATATATTCATACCTCATGTTCATTCCCATAAGTAAATCCACATGCTTCCTCCCCACCCCGATATCCTGATCCTCGATCCTTCAATTTTTTTTGCTTTCATTTTACCAACTGGCCAAGCCATTTGCCACTGCCCACTTCTCTTTCCATACAAAATATATGACCAGGCACACTGCCCACAGCTCAGCTCATTGGGTTTCCCTTCACTTGTGTCTTTTAAGATCATTCTGTTGTGCAACTGTAATCTATTTTTACTTGCTTCCACCAGCCCACAGCCCACAGCTCTGTAAAAGAACTTGCTTTTACAGCTCACAGATAGTGAGCTGACCATCTGTGAACCAACTCAAGTTTTATTCCTCCCTCAGTGGTCACAAGGGACAACCTTATATGCAGCCATATGGTAAACTGAAGCTTCAGTAAAGTGTTGAATAATAGGTGGATCTGGGACACAAGTAATGTGTCCCCTGGCCCTGGTTGTATCCAATCCTGGATGTATCATTTTCATCTACCTCAGGGAGAAGGCAATAAATGAATACTGTTGTCTATTCTATGTGAATGAGAAGTTTTTCTGATTCTCTTTTCAGAAGAAGATGAAAAGAACACATTTACTTCATCAATGGCTGCATTCCAGGTACTTGAGGCATATTGATGAGCTCTAGCAGATATTATATGTGGCATAACAACTGCAATCAGGACTATTTGATTTTGTCAGCCTTCACTTTCTCTCTGGCATTTGTAGGACCTAGACTGGTGAACTAAAGGGACCATCACCCTGGCAGATCTTTAAGAGTGAACCAATCTCGCCCTGGCCAGTTTGGCTCAGTGATTGAGCATCGGCCTGTGGACCAGAGAGTCCTGGGTTCAGTTCCCACTAGGGGCATGTACGACAAAAATAAATAAAGAAAGAAAGAAAGAAAGAAAGAAAGAAAGAAAGAAAGAAAGAAAGAAAGAAAGAAAGAAAGAAAGAAAGAACCATTCTCTATCGTTGTCCTAGGGGTGTGAGATTCACAAACACATATTTTATTTCTTAGGCAGATAAAGGAACACTTGGTCCCTTCTATGAAAAATAGTTATCTGGTGGGTTTTATGACTCAGTTTATCTGTTGTAGCATCCTCACCTTCTCTGTGCCATGTGATCCCATCTTCCATTGGCTACTATGAAAATTCCGACATGTCTACTTCACTAAGTATGGGCCATCACTTTCTATAAGATTCTAAGAACCATCCTGGCAGCATGTCAAAATCATGTTCAAGGTCACTGCCAGGATATTAAACCTTATATCCTAAACAAAGACAAATCATATTGATATTGATGAAATCTCCCGTATGTTCTGGCCCTACCCCCTTAGATTTTTATATTTATTCTCCTAGCTCCTGTCAGTACATGTAGACTAGGTCCTATATTTCCTTTGGGATATAGTATCTTTCCTCCTTAGTAGGCCTAGCTATTCCCTGAAGGTTAACGTTATGAACGAATCCTAATCATTGACTTTGTAGCCAGAGAAAGTAGGAAGAGATCCTGGAACAAGGCCACTTGTTTTCTTTCAGGTAGGAAGCCTCCACATGGGTTTTGAACAAGGACAAAGCCTTTGTCCTTAACAGGGTGGAGTGGGTCACTGCTGTAGGCTTAGAGGACTTGGAGGAAACCACTGATTCTGAATTTATTTTTATCTATCAATAATCACTTTTCTTTACGCTTCACAAATTTGTGTGTCACCCTTGTTCAGGGGCCATTTTATCTTCTCTGTATGGTTCCAATTTTTTATATGTGCTGCCTAAGCAAGCAATCAATAATCACATTTTTTAAGAAAATTGAATTTATTGGGGTGATAATGATTAATACAATTATATAGGTTTCAAGTGTGACAACATAAATGTAGCTTGAGAATATCATGCTATGCAAAACAAGTCAGACAGAAACAGTTACGAACCCCGTGGTTTCACTCAGCTTTCTCTACTGTCCAGCTATAGGAGACAAGGTTATCTTTAAGAGATTACAAGGAGATCCTTTAGCTTTCACACTTAGCTGTTTATTTTTTCCCCTTAAACCTTAGATAAAAAAAATTGAGATATAATTTATATACCATAAAATTCACCCTTTAAAATATACAATTCAGTGGTTTTAGTATATTCACAAAATTGTATAACCATTACCGCTATGTAATTCCAAAACTTTTTCATCACCCTAGAAAGAAACCCTGAGCCCATTAATAGTCTCTCCTCATTCTCTTCTCCTTCCAGCTTCTGCAAAGCACTAATAAACTTCGTGTCTTTATAGATTTGTCTATTCTGGGCATTTCAGATAAATGTTTTCATAAAATATGTGGCCTTTGTGTCTGATTTCTTTCACTCAGGATAATGTTTTCATTATTCATATAACACGTATCAGTATTTCATTCCTTTTTATGAATGCATATATTCCACTTTATGGAAATACTATATTTAATTATATATTCATCAGTTGATGGGCATTTGGGTTGTTTCCACCTTTTGGCTATTATAAATAATGCTTTGTGAACATTGGTGAGCAAGTTTATTGTGGACATAAGTTTTTTAATTCTTCCGGATTTATACATAGGAGTAGAATTGCTGAATCATATGATAACTCTATGTTTAACTTTTGAGGAACTGTTAGACTTCTCAAAGCAGCTGCATGATTGTACATTCCCAACAGCAATGTAGGTTGGTTCATATTTTTCCACATCTTGGCTAACACTTATTGTTGTCTACAGTCATCCTAGTAGGTGTAAAGTAGCATCACATTGTGGTTTTGATTTTCATTTCCCTGAAGACTCATGATAATGAGCTAATTGTCCACTTGTATATCTTATTTGGAGAACTGTCTATTCAAGTCTTTTTCTCCCTTTTTATTTGGGTCGTCTTTTTGTTGTTGAATTGCAAGTGTTCTTTGGATATTAAACCCTGATTAAATGTTATTTGTAAATATTTTCTTCTGTTCAATGGGTTGTCTTTTCCCATACTCTTGATAGTGTACTTTGATTCATAAGCATTTTTAATTTTAATGAATTTCAATTTATTTATTTTTTTCATCATCTCTTCTTTTGAGTTCACTTTTAAGAAATCACTGCCAAATCCAAGGTGATGAATTGATTTTATATTTTCTTCTGTGAGTTTTATCTCTTAAATTTCAATATTTGATGCAGGCCTCACCCCTTATGTCTATGTTCTTGTGTGGGTTGCACTTCTGTCCTTTTAGCTTTGTGAGCAGCACCATTGCCAAATAAGTGCCTTATAAAAGGTGACAAAAAGAGAGTCAAGAAGAAACTAGTTGATCGATTTTCTAATAAAGATTGGTATGTTGCAATTGTACCAGCTATGTTCAATATAAAAAGTATTGAGAAGCCCAGCCAGTGTGGCTCAGTGGATGAGTGTCAACCCATGCACCAAGAGGTCACCAGTTTGATTCCTGGTCAGGGCACATGCCCAGGTTGTGGGCCTGATCCCCAGTGGGATGCATGCAGGAGGTGGCCAATCGATGTCCTCTCTCATTGATGTTTCTATCTCTCCCTACTTCCCCCTTCCTCTCTCTCTAAAGTCAATAAAGGGAAAAAAAGTATTGGGAAAATACTAGTCATAAGAACTCAAGGAACCAAAATAACATCTGATGATCTCAAGGGTCATGTTTTTGAAGTGAACCTAGCTGATCTGTAGAATGATGAAGTTGCATTTATAAAATGCAAGCTAATTACTGAGGATGTTCAGGACTAATTTCTATGGCATGGATCTTGCCTGTGACAAAATGTGTTCCATGGTTAAAAGATGGCAGACCAGATTGAAGCTCATGTTGATGTCAAGGCTACTGATGGTTATTTGCTTCATCTATTCTATGTTGGCTTTACTAAAAAACACAATAATCAAATCTGATTTGAAGACATCTTATGCTCAGCATCAGTAGGTCCACCAAATGTGGAAGAAGATTATGAAAGTCATGATCCAAGAAGTGCAGACAAATGACTTTAAAAAAAGTGGTTGATAAATTAATTCCATATAGTATTGGAAAAGACATAGAAAAGGCTTGCCAATCTATTTATCCACTCCATGATGTCTTTGTTAGAAAAGTCAAAATACTGAAGAAGCCTAAGCCTGGACTGGGAAAACTCATGTTTCATGGTGAAGATAGTAGTTCTGGAAAAGTTTCTGGGGATAAAACAGGTGCTAAAGTTGAATGAGCAGATGGATATGAGTCCCCAGTCTAAGAATCTATTTAAAATTCAGATATTTAATGGTGACAAATAAAACATTCTATTTGTGATATTTTTTAAAAGTTGATTCATTTTTGTTAATTTTTGTATATGATGTGAGTTAGGAGTTCAACTTTATTCTTTGGCATATAGATATCCAGTTGTCCCAACATCATTTGTTGAAGAGACTGTTTTTTTCCTTATTGAACGGACTTGGCACCATTGTTAAAAACCAAGTGGATTAAATGTAGAGGCTTTTTTTCTGGACTCTATTGATTTATATGTTTCTCTTTATGCCAGTATTACCTTGTCTTGATTATTATGGCCTTGTAGTAAGTTTTGAAACTGGGAACTGTGAGCCTTCCAAATTCATTTCACATTTAGTTTTTAATTAATCATTTAAAATCATCAGGCTTTTATTATATTTTTTTCCCTCAGAAACTGCCATCTAATTCTATTCTTTTTAGAATTTCTATTGCCTCAAATTCTTTAAGTCCTGATACATTGCACATATTAGTACATTTCTTTCCCATGGTGTATCATTATCCCAGTTCACTACTAGTGAAAGTAACAGTTGCATTGTCCACTTGACTCATCTTCCCTAGAATCCAGTTTCATACATTTTCTTTTGACTCCTTCTGGTACATGCTGGGTATGTTGCAGTTATGAAGGACCTGCAGTTATCTGGATCTGCTACTAGTGATGGTGTTCTCATTGCCTGTCATTTAGAGAACATTCAAACATCAAAATCTCATCTTAGTATCTTCATTTTGTTTTTTGTATTGAGACATGATCTTTACGGAGAGCTTAAAAAAAAATCTCATGAAGTGAAAAAAAGTGTTCTGAATTCAGGCTATGTCTACATCATAGTTAGTATTATTTACTACCAACATTCTTTTCTGAAACTCTGTTTCGATAATACAGAAAAACAATTTTCTTTTCTTTCTCTCTCTCTCTTTTTTTTAACCAACAGGACACAAAAATTGCTTTATTGGAGCAAAACATAAGGGATCTTGAGGATGAGATCCAGATGTTAAAAGCTAATGGTGTTCTGAACACTGAGGACCATGAAGAAGAGATCAAACAAATAGAGTTTTACAAAAATCACTCTAAATTCATGAAAACCAAGGTATAGTCCAGAGTTATAAACTTTTATACTCTTAGTGTTACTGGAAAGTTACAGCTTACACACATACTTTTTCCAAATACCCACATAATCTTCTTTATACGATATCATGAAATATATGAACAATAAAGAGGAATGCGAAGATTGTAGTTCAGGTGCATAGATTCCAAAAAGAAATCAGGGAAAACCTTTGGTAGAATTTCTACTTACAGTGGGGTTCAGGACTTTCTCATGAGTTCCTTTTGTGTTGCTGTTTTGGGAATTAATATTTACTTTTTATTAAACTTTGTTTTTATTGTTGACACTATTACAGATGCCTCATTTCCTCCCTCTTTGCCCACTTCCACCAGTCCCTGTTTCCCTCTTCCCTCTGGCTGCCACAACACTGTTGTCTGTGTCTATGGGTTATATATGTCCTTTGGCTAATCCCTTCAACCTTCTTTCATGCAGCCCTCCCCTCCCCCTCCACTCTGAGAGCTGTCGGTCTGTTCCATGTTTCTATGTCGCTAGACCTATTTTGTTCATCAGATTCTACGTATGAGATCACATGGTATTTGTCTTTCTCTGACTGGCTTATTTTACTTAGTATATTAATGTTCAGGTCCATCCATGTTGTCATAATAGGAATGATTTCCTTCTTTTTTATGGCTAAGTAGTATTAATTGTGTAAAAGTATCACAGGTTTTTTTTTATCCATTCATCTACTGATGGGCACTTGGTTTTTCCCCCCCCAGATCTTGGCTATTGTAAATAATGCTGTTATGAACATAGGTGTGTATACTTCTTTTGAATGGTGTTTTGAAATTCTTAGGATATATTCCCAGAAGTGGAATCCCTGGATCAAAGGTAGTTCCATTTTTAATTTTTGAGGAAACTCCGTTGTGTTTTACACAGTGGCTGCACCAGTCTGCATTCCCACCAACAGTGCATGAGGGTTCTCCCTTTTCTCTACTTCCTTGCCAGCATTTGTTGTTGTTTTATCAATGGTAACAATTCTGGCAGGTGTGAGGTGACATCTCCTTGTGGTTTTCACATTGAGCACATGCAGGCTACCATTGGAAAGGTATGGATGAAGGTGTTCTCTGTGGCCGAGGTGGAGGCAATCCCCAAAGGAGCTGACAGGGAAGGCCACACAGTCCACCACTGGAGCCATAAGAGCTTCCTAGTGACTTTCTCAAAGTCACATGGCTCATAAGTTGCAAGGAATCTAGATTTTCTGACTCCTACTTAGGAGATTTTTCCTTTCACGTGCTGCCTGTCACCTCATGTGACAACATAGTACACCAGCACCACACCTCCCAGAGTCCTCTCTAGGCCTTGTTCTTGGCAGCAGTGGGTGAGTTGTATGGACTTCCTGTGAAAGTAATATTTCTGAAAAACCTCAGGTGGCCTAGGTTCACAGAGTAAGCTCCAGGATTGGCTGAGGAAAAGTATTTTTGGCATGCAGGCATTGTTAAT